CCCAGGAAGTTCGCCACCAAGTAGCTCATCACCAAGGCACGTCACCACCAGGTCAAACACGAGGTACTTAGCCAAAAAAATTTATACATCACAAAAAGTGGTACGTGACCAAAAACGGTTACATCAATATGTATAATATATAATTATATGTTATATATATGAACCGTAATGGGCTATGTTGGGCCATGCCATGCTATGGGCCGAAGTCAGCATGGCCTGCCTTGTTGTGCTGTCTCGTGCCAGCCTATAGGCCTGAAAACCTAAGCCTGGCATGGCCCGTATGCTACAGTGATGGGCCAAGGATGGCATGGCTCTAATTGAAAGTACAAAGGAGATCGGGTTGACCACATAATTCTTACATTGTGTGCTATTGGAGGTTAGAGGAGATCGGGTTGAACCAGTTTGTGAATGAATTATATAGGAGTATAGGAGAGAGTCCATGTCTTCATGATTTGACCAATTCAATACACCTTGAATTCAATCCGGTTCAACAAAGTAAATGGTGTTTGGGTATAACCCAAGCAACTCATATTTGGGAGCCAAAACACGTTCCAAGCCTCTACCAAGTACCAACAAGATCTAACACAACACATTTTACACATGGTTTTTAAAAACGAGTCAGTGATTGAACCTGTCAGAGGTCCCGTTATCGGTTTGAACGGTCCGATCGTTTGATTTGAACGATTAGCCCATTCTGACAAAAAAATAAAAATGTTTAAAAAGTAGAAAACGGTTAAAACTGTTCGAACGATTAACCGATTGATTCAACGGTTTACTGACCAAAATCAACAGTTTTGGGAGAAAAAGCAGTTTTAGAAGAAAACAGAACCGGTTAAGCGGTTCCCGATTTTTCCGGTCCGATGGTCCGATCCGGTTTTAAAAACAGTGATTTTACATGAAACTGGGACCCACCATGTACGAGATGTGCGGTGTGAGTTTCTAGTTGGTAGGGGGTTTGAAACGTGTTTTGCTGGTAGTTGATCCGGACTCTTCTCCTCCCATGCACATTCCCACACTCCAAAATATCTCATCCGGTTGACGGCAAAGTTTCAAATGAGGAAAAACACTATTCATCTTCCCCAAGAACTGAGAACCAGAAGCGGCAAAAAGAATCTAACCGGTCCTCCATGTCTCTCTCTCTTCTTCTTCTTATCTTCTCTCCCCTACTACTGTAATACGAGACCTTTCTGTCACTTGCAGAGACCACCGAACTAGGACCACACTTTCTTCTATATCAGAACCAACCACCACCGCCACACTATCGAGCCAGACCTCCCCTTATCTCCGCTGCCACTGCAAGCCTGCAACTTAGGACCAGTCCGTCCTACCCCGTTTTGTTATAAAGTGAATAGGTCCCGGTACCTACATCACCGACATCACTATCAACCCTCATTACGTAACTATTGAGGGAGGAGATAGACCACCGTTGTCGTCAATTGGTTCTATAGTCACTGGCAAGAAAGAGGCAACATCATCACCATTGTCACAACGTTCATCCATCATCCTCTCAAACCGGCCGGATCGAAAAGCAGGATCAACCCACTGGATGTAATATCAAGTGGAAACCAACCTTCCTCGGATCGTTTGTTCGGAATCCCATCATTCGTATATTTAATTTTGGAAATCAGTCCCAATTTTCTTCTTAGATTTTCAGCCCATACTAGTACTTAGGCTTACTCTTGTTGATTTCTGTTACTTTTAGTTATTGTAGTTGTTATCTCTAGGTCTGTGTTAATGTATCTCTCTTTTCACATAGTTTTCTTATTTCATCACTTCTTTTCATTTTTAATACTCGTAAAAACGATTGGTTTCCTTGAAACTCCATTTCATTCTTAACCTGTTTGCAACACTGTAGTCATCTTCTAACTCGTAATTTCCAGATGAACATCTATCGGTAGAATAGATGAGTTTGTTTCTTGGTTAGTTAGTATTGACTGGAATTGTTGTTTTACAAAATTAGTTAAAATGGACTTTTACAAAACATCAATAGCTAGCGAAAAAACTTTGCCTACTTTATCCCGTGGGTGAACATTACCTGCCTTCTCTCCCGGGTGAGTATTTTAAGGGTGAGTATTTTAGAGGAATCTAACTGAGGTAGTGAGGCTCAGTTAGGTGGATAATACAAAGTTAAAAGATATTTCAGGAGTATTTTAGTAAATTTATATCAGAAGAGTTGAAAGATATAAGGGTAAAATTGGTATTTTCAAAAGCAAATCCGATTTTGGGAGGTAACGGCACATTTTGTATCAAAACTACAGGGGATGTTTATGTTAAAGTGGAAACATAGGAGGGGGGGGGTATGATTGTGCGAAAATCCAGGGCAGGTAACTGACTCTATGTGCTGCTCTACCAAATACCAACTATCAAATCCAATAGAAACTTAATTTCGGAAAAAACGGACACGTAATCAGGATTGAACGTCAGCCCAAACTCCAAACAGATAACAGAGCGCAGTTTAGAGAGAAATAGAATTGAAGAGGTGAAATAGACAATATTATTATACTCACAAGACGTTAGTGATGATGTATAAAACCCAGGAAACAAGGAGATATGAGTTGACTAAGTTCATCACACCAAAGTTGAATAGCTGAAGAAGAAAAATAAGGCTTGGTTGGTTTGGCCTTGTGCAAGGCAAAGATAATTACAGATATTATGGCAAAGACGGGAACAATACAATTATGGCAAAGATGGGAACAATAAAATTATTGATATATCGTTTTGTTTCTGCCATCATTGGTGACGCTCGAAGACAGTTACCTCTAAGATCTTTTGTCCTTTTATTGTTTTCCTTAATTTTGCATTTATTAATAGGCAATATTCATGATGTCGGATACATTCTAAATGCAATAGACATTGACATTGACATTCTAATGCCTATTAATTAATATATAGTTCGTGGCACACGATAAATGCAATAGACATTGTATCGGAATATCTCCCATGCTCACACCGTCCTAATAACCTCTTACAACTTTGTATCGGAATATCTCCCATGAAATAAAGCATATGAATAGGTAGTTATTTCTAATGTTAAGTTGTAAAGATATTTTCAATGTAAGGTTGTAAAGGCTGTTTAAACGAGTGTTGATTTGACTGAAATCAAATTCTTCATTATAGTGGGAGTCTGGATCACTTGTCAATAAAACATGTTCCAACCTTGTATCAAAATAATTTCACACCGTGCATCTCATACATGGCAAGTCCCGCTTTTATAGAGGGTCCTAATTTCATGGTGACATGTGCGGTGTTAGATCAAGTTGCTAGAGGGTTGAAACATGTTTTGTTGGCAGAAGATCTCAACTCTTATAGTGGCATTTTTGGAACATCTCTCCATGAATAATAAGTGAGATGTTATCAATGTGGAATCAGTAGCACTCATGCCCTTTTTCTTAAGTTGATTTGAGTTGATAATGGCTTACATGCTCACAAATAGGGGTTGATATTTAAAAAATTAAGAATTATAATAATTAGTTATTATTACATATAAAAATAATAATAATAATAATAATAATATTATTATTATTATTATTATTATTATTATTATTAGTATTAGTATTATTATATGTAGCTATTTGAGCTCGACTCACGAGTCTCATAAGCCGAGCTTTATTAGGCTTGAACTTAACTCAATTAATAAACGAACATATAAATTGGGCTCAAGTTCGGTTGAAACCAAGCCGAGCCAAGCTTTTCACAAGCTGAGCTCAAGTAGGTCGTGAAGAGCTCGTTTCGTGGTCACCCCTACTCACAAAAGTGAAGTGCTCATCTTCTTGGAATGAGGCGAAGGAGAAAATGCTCTCTATCTTACCCTAAGCACTAGTTGATCGATCCACATGAGTAGTGGTTAGGGGTGCAAGTTGGGCAGGGTTAGGTCAGGTTGAGGTAAACCCTTGCCCAACTTAGTCAACCCTAACCCTAATCCAACTTAAAATCTCTTAACCTTAATCCAACTCAAAATTGGCTTTGGGTTGGGCCCAACCTATTTCTTATTTTGGCATTTGGTGATCTGCACCACTAATAACCCCTTTCCCAAAGTTAGTGGATGTGGGAATCAATTATGCCTATGCTGGAGCAAACTAGTTGATATACCAATTGAGTCACCCCTTACTTGGCACCCAACTTGACTTATTTTCCATGTTAAAATCTCAAAAAATATTTCAAATTCTCTTAACCTTTAACTTAGATCTATATAAAGGTTGTAAGTCGGGTTGCCTGCTTTTAAGAATTTTAATTATGTTAGGATCAAGTTAGGGTTTTGGCCCAACAACAACAACAATAATAATAATTTCTATAAATATATATATATATATATATATAAACATAATTTATATATTATACTATATAAATATATATAATAATAAATTTTATATTTTTATTTATTTATTATATATAAGTTAAAAAAGTAATTAATTTTTTAGGTTTTTCCCTATTCAGAAAAGGAAACGGAGTCGGATTAAATTCGAATCTGATCTGAGTCCGATAGTATTCGAATCCAATCCGAAATCATCAAATCTGATCGGATTTGTTTACTGCCACAAACCGATTATACAAATCTCTAGAGTATTCCTACTTCCACGGTTCCACCCTCATGAGTTGCACAATCCCGCTTGAGTTGTAAGCTTTCCGTACGCACGGTCACACCTGGCGGGCTGGCTGGCTGAATGTGTGTCCTTGAGCGACAAGCCAAAGAGTTTACAACCCTTTACTTCCTGCCTGGAAGGCTGGAAGTGCGAACGACTCGGTGCAGGTGCGTGCCACGTTACAGGGAGTCCGTTCCCCACAGCTCAAAGTCAAAACCATCAACGGAATGACGGCTTCGCTGACGTCCGTTCCCTACTTTACTCATTTTAAACATCAAGTCATCGACCACCTCCTCCCCAAGCCATTGGGTTTCATTTCATTCTCTCCCTCTCTCTCCCTCTCTCCCTCTCTCCCTCTCAATTTGAACCAACGTCAACACACATTTTCCTCTAATTTCTCAGCTCCAAATCACTCACCATGGGTTCCTGCTTCTCCTCCGAATCAAGTAAGTCCTCTGCTCCTTCCACGGCTAAAGTCATCTCAACCAATGGTAACCTCCTTGAATATTATGTTCCTATTACCGTATCCCAGGTGCTCCAAATGGAAAGCTCCTCTTCCTCCTCCTCCTCTCCTTTCTTCCTCTGCAACTCCGATAGCCTTTACTACGATGAGTACATTCCGCCGCTCGATTCCGCTCAACACCTCCAAGCGGGTCAGATCTATTTCGTCCTGCCTTTGAGTCGGTCGCACTACCGCTTATCAGCTTCCGATATGGCTGCCTTGGCGGTGAAAGCCAGTCTGGCCCTCTCTCAATCGTCCACCAAGGATGGCATCCGTCGTAAGAAGATACGAGTTTCGCCTGTCTTTGATGTCAATTATACAACGAATTCTATAGAGGATGACGATTTTGTCGGCTTCAAGAGTTTTCAGAAACCTAAACAATCCGGGATTACGAGATCTGGGTCTATGAAAAAGTTACAGAGGAACGGTTCTAGACGAACTAGGCTGGCCATGCGCTCATTTCGATTGAAATTGAGCACTATCTACGAAGGTCGCGTCGCTGAATGGTAAATACAAGCAAGATTTATTAATTTGTTCCTCGGTTAGCCCCCTCTTTTTTTTTGGTTTTCTGTAAAAACAAAACAGGGGATCGAAATTCGAATTGAGTTCTTTTTTTTTTCTCTTTTTCATATTGTCCGGTCTTTAATCTCATGGAAAAAGCAATAGGGATTCGGGGTTATCGTCCCTTCCTATTCTTTGATTAATTTTTCTTAATTTGTTCATCGTCTGCTGTTTGTCATTTTGTTCGTTAATCCCTCATTTACAATGAGAAAAACAGAAGTAGGAAGCAACTTACATACGGAATACGGGGAACCTTATACGTTCATTTTTTTAGATGGATTAATGAAAATCGTACGATATGCATATAAAAATTCAGATTCAGTCCTCACAAAATTTGTTCTTACACCGTTACACGGTATTCGCAACACTTGCAGCTCTGCCCAGAGAACATCTTCGTTTGGATGAAAACATATGAATTCTCACGGGTAGATGTTCCTAATATATACGCTGAGATGTGCATGTGGAGTGGGTTCTGTGTGGTGCCAATCTGAATTAAAAAAAATATTAGTGCATAAATGTTTGCTGTAAGTATTGTGAGGATAAATTTTGTGACGATTATGAGACAAGTTCAGAGGAGTCTGGATCTCCTGCCCATAAGAACTCTGCTTACGTTTATCGCACTCATTCACGAAGAACATCTCATCCTTGCATATTATGGAGGGGGAGATGTTCCCAATTCGGAGTCGGTTCTTCAGAATTGGTTGTGAAGAAATAAAATGGTATGAAAGAGTGGGAAAGGGGATAATTTTATGCAAAATCGGATAAATGTGAAATTGAGACTGAGAGGAAGAAAAAAGTGAAAGTGAAACGAAAAGAAGTAGAAAAGAAAAACAGAGGACGTTACGGAACCAAAGGAAAACTGCAACATCTAGAATGAACACATTTGGAATATATCCAGAAATGGAAGCATCGCGTCATCTGCTATGGCCTATGGGCTATAAAGTCGATGTCATATTAGAGAGCAACCTTGACTATGGGGTAGTGCGCTCCTATTCTTTTCAAAAATCGGAAATCAGAAATTTCCTGGGAAAATCAAGGGATGTTTCTTTGTGCCCAAGAAAATAACGATGTAGCCCGGAATCTGCAGCACCTGCACTTCCTTTGCCCTTGGATTATGCATGATGTCATTAGACTTGATGGAAGTGCAGCATATTCCGAATTGTTTTTGGTTTGTCGGCACTTCATTCATTTGTGCGCCCTAATTTAGGGATGGTATTTTTTTTTTCATTTCTTCGATCTTCGTAGGGATTGGTTCTGAATGGAGAGGGATAGAAAGATTTGTACGGATGGAAATAGAGAAATTTTCATTTTTGTAAGTTAGGATGAGATGGGGACGGGGAGAATACTTTTCCCCTCATCGGGACCTCAATTCCCACTAATATATATATATATATATATATATATATATATATATATATAATTGAATATGCTTGAATTTTTTTAATAAAATTATAAATTTTAATTATTTTATTTTTATTTTTAAATAAAATAATAAATAATAAATATTATAAAATAATAAAAAATGGAAATCCTTCTGGAATAAAGATAAGCTTATTTCCATTAGTGAGGACAAGATAACGAAATGAAAATTTTCACGGGAACGAGAATGGGGAGAGGCTCCACGTCTCCATGCTCCGTTGCCATTTTTAGCTTAATCCGGCAATTAGGTTATTAGCAGGTGCAAGGGGATTTATGGGGATTCGGCAGAAACAATTTCTGCCCACAAACTCCGGAGTCCGGAGTCCAGATCGAATTTTGTTTCTTCGCACCGTCCTCGCTAATCGTGCACTGAGAAAATCTTCCGTAATAAATGAAACTTTCATATAATACATTAACAACAAGGAAGGAAATATTTACAAATCAATGTATGCTGCAAGTGTTGTGAAAGCCAATATATGAACGAAATCCGGATTTAGAGACGAGTTATTTGTTCCAGGAGCGAAAATTCACGGATCAAAAACAGTGGATTCTCTCCGTTCGACGCACGTGGCATTCTTTATTCTGATTTTTTTTTTTTTATTAAAAACATTCTATATTGAAAACATTCTGATTTTTTATTAATTTTTATTTTTTATTAAAAACATTCTGATTTTTTTTTTTATTAAAAACATTCTTTATTCTGGTCCCTAAATTTTAAAATGCAACAATTTAATATTTAAACTTTCAATTTGTGATAATTTAATATCTTATCAGTCAGCACATTAAAAAAAGTAAATGCCTACGGATAGGTTCTTTTGCTTTAGTTCATCATTAACTTTGTTTTACGTAAATACCACACAGATTGCTGTATTCCTTCAGCTCTTTGATCGTCATCAGCTACTCGCCCAGGAAATGCCTCTCCACCAAACGCCTCCCTCCCTCCCAGAGTCCCAGGTCAGAGTCCTTACCACTCTTTCTCTCTCTGTCTTCCATTTCTCACTTCATTTATTTCCTGCACCAATGACAAAATTAATAGAAGGAAAAGGATTTAATTGTTTTGATACGTTTTATTCATAATTCAGGCAGTCGATTCTACAATGCAGTCGGAGAATTCCCTGGGATCTCCAGCGTGCCCTAGCAACCTGCAACAATAAAAGCAACCTTATGTGCGGTCATCTCCAGAAAATGTGAAGCATTCCACACAGAAAATCCGTTCTCCAGTGCTAGAAATTTCAACTCCGGTGAAAATGCTTCTTCCTCTCCTAGTGTTCAATTTCAAGGAAGGTTTACAATCCTCGTGGAAGTTCAAAGAAGTACCAAGGCTTTCTCTGGATAGCAGAGCTACTGTTGATGGAAAGGGAAACCTGTACCCGAGGGAGATCCGAATGAATGCAGCAATTTTCATTGCAACTCAATGCAGCGTAAACCCTAGAGAAGCGGCGTCTGCCGATGATAATGATAAGCAACACCATTCGCCCAGCGTCATCGCACGGCTTATGTGCCTCGAGGTGCTGCCGGACTCCAACCGTGAACCTCTTAAGAAAGTTGATCAGCCTGAGCTAAGGAGATATGCTTTAGAGTCTAGGGTGTCAAGAGATCTGCTTCAGTATCGTTTTGTAGACGAAAACAACTTCTAGATGAAGCAGTCTTGCCAAACGAATTTCGGAAGCAACGTCATAAGCAATGCGGCAAGAGATAATGCTGCTCGGCAAGATAATAATCAAACGTTAGGACACCGGATTTAATGGACTTCTGCGTCAGAAAACCGAAATACGAGCAATCAAAATCTCCGAGCGGATGCCAATCCGCATCCACATGGAAAGCGCCCCGGCAACGTAAGAGTTTTTTTTTTTATGTGCAGAATTTCTTTCCGGAGCCAAAGCAAGTGGTCTCTCTATATGGAGAGATCGAGAAACGGTTGAAGATATGAGGAATCGATGAACCAAGGATCTGGAGACGCTGAAGCAGATGCTCGAAGCTCTACAACTCAAAGGGCTACAGCATTCTAAGAAATCGGTAGAGCAACAGATCGGGCATAGGAGTTCGAGCTCTACGAGTTTTTGACTCAAGCTGAGTTCGAGCTCGTACTATTCTGCTATGCTCGAATCCACCCCTAGCCATCAACCAATTCACTTGGGCTATGTTTGGCTTGAAGGGAAAGGTAGGGAAACCTATACAAGGTTTGTAAGGTTCTGTTTGGTTGTGGGATGGGGATAAGAAAAAGAGAATATTTTAAAAGTATTCCATTTTCTCATATTTGTTTTGAGGGAAAGAGGGGGATGGGATGAGAAAAAAGTGGGATGCGTGATCCCAAAATCGGGGATTCGGGGTCACACCAAAACAGTGTGACCCTAGTGAGAAAACTCGAGTTTCCATCTCCCTCCTCCCATAAAACGACAATGTCGAAGGTCCCACGCACATTAACAGAGAAATCCGACAACACAGTCCTGTTCAACGGCACCAGCATAGGTGTCCAACACCAATGCCACCGCTAGCATAGAGGAATCGACACAACAACAAAAATCCCTCGCAACGGCCAAAATCCAAAGCAACTTCCCCGTTCGGATAGAAGAAGTCGATACTGAAAGCAACTTCTTCTATCTGTATCTTGGTTTCCAATAGTCGATTTTGTTATCAAAGCAGCAAACATGGAGCCTTGTTTATAAGTGTGAATAGGGCTGCCAACCGGGCTTCGAGTACTAGGGTGGCGTGCATCGTATCCAAGGCCGGCAACGGGGATGTGCGGGTCACGCCGGTGCTGGCCATTGACGGTTTGAGGGAAGACCGGACACCATTGCCGAGACTGAAGTTAGATGAGGTGGAAGAATTTTTTACTCCCGAGTTTAAGCATAGGTTGTCGATGTGTATGTCGAGGAAACAAAGAGGTTGAAACGAGAAGAAGAAGAAGAAAAAGAAGAAGAAGAAGAAGAAGAAGAAGAAGAAAAGAGGAGAAAGAGAGTGGGAGAGGGGTGGGAGATGACGGTGGTAGCTGTCACCTCTGTTCGTCTTGAACAAAGGAGGAAGGTGAACAGTGCCATTTCGGTCCCCTTTCACACTTTCTCATCCTATCCCAATAAAACCAAACAATGAAAACTTAAATTTTTATACCTTCCCATCCCACCCATACCTTTCCACAAATCAAACGGAGACTAAAGGTTTCCTTACCTTTCCCTACTTTTTCATTCAAACCAAACATAGCCTTTATTAGTGGACTAGAACCATGCAATCCTTGATTCAAATACAAATAAAAATTGACTAATTGTAATGTGATTGAAAGAAATATGAAATTAAATGAACAATAGAATAGAAATACAAGTTACAAATAAGGAAAATTATAGAAATACATAGAAAATGTTAAGATTCTAGAATGCCTGCGTGAACGTAACTCCTTTGAATAGTACTTAGACAAAAAGAAATTTATTATGCCAATAAATTCTTGCCAGTATACAAATTCATATAAAAAACATTTAATTTTCATGGATCCAATTTTTTTTATTTTTCTCATTTGCCTTTTCCAGGTCTATTTTTATATTTGTTTGATTTTATGGAGGTTATATATGTAGACCAAATGATGTAATTTGCAATCGAAGGTTGGGATGGTCAAATATTTGATATTTGGATAGCTTTTGGGAGTGGGTAATAAACCTGTTGAATAAATGGATTTCTTAGAGAGAATCTTTTGGTCGGTTTTGATAAGCATACTGCAAACATATAGGCCTGGTTGTTGTACTCATATTCATTAAGGCTGCTTATTCTAAATTGCATTTTGCGTTTTGACCTGCTGAATGTTAACTATTGTGTTGTTGAACTGTCTGGTGTGGAACTGATCATCAAGGAGATTTCTGCACTTGAGATGGAAGTTGTGTTTGGAACAGCATCGATTGCTTTTGATCACTATATATATATATCGATCAGAAGGCTTTAATTTGAACACCATATGATATGATCTAGCCACATTAACTAACTACTTCTGCTATCGTGGACAGGGGCTATATGAGTACTCCTGCGACCAGCTTTTGCTTTTGCTTTGTATTCATTCATCAAATATAAATATACGTTTACATATTGTAACTAGCTAGTAATTAATAGGTATTAGTTATATCTATATATATATATATATAGACGCATATTGTATCAACAGTCTGAAAGCATGAAAATTATATTGAGAACCCAATCACAAATTCACAATGACTAGCTAGCTGCTTGGTTGCATATATAAAAAAGTCATTATGCATGGTAGTTGCCACTTACAAATTAAGGGGCAAGTGATTGGAATTTATATATTGCTTATTGCTTATTTAAATTAACATTAATTAAAACTACTATTTATGGTAAATGGGTGCCACTACCGGTTACCGGACCACCTAGATCCATTAGTCATTAACTATGGTATGCAGGTAGTAAGCAGCAGGTGCAGCAGCTAGCTAGCTCTCTGCTCTATGACTCTCACTTCCTTGACTACAAACATGGGCTGGGCTCAGCTGGTTGTACTGGCAATTTGGTGTACAAGTTGTAGAGCTTCTCCAGCTCGCAGTCCAGTAGATAAACGGAGCTTCCGATAATGTAGGTAGGTGAAAGGGGCGTATAGGCGAGGATGTTGGGGGTCCACGAATTCCTGTGGGGCCTCCACTGCCTCATCCTTGGGTCCCAACACAAACATAGCAATCGAGATACGTATCGCTGCTTCCTTGCATTGTACCCGGTGCTTCACATTGTGGAATCTGCCATTGCTCCACGCCTAAACACAAATAATTAATCTATACTACTTTAAAAGAAAAAATGGTCTCAAAAATATTTTTAGAATTTTTTAAGGATAATATTTAGTCCTTTATATTTATAAAAAATAAGGGCAAATAGGTAATTGGTTATTGATATTAAATGAGTTAAAAAGAGGTAATTTAAAGATATTCAATGCATTCAATCATCTCTCATTAAATCCAATATTTAAGTTATTAACTTGTATTCATCTACATTGAATCATATATTTAAATCATTTTTATTTCTTCTCATCATTAAGTTCTATTAATTAAATTCATACTTAATAAATTAATAATTCCAATAACATAAAAGCTTATACCTTTAAAATATACCAAACAAAAATAGTATTTTCATCTAAGTGATGGTAAGAAATTAAATCATTTTGGGTCAAATGGGGTTAATCCATGTTGCCACTATTAGATAATAAAATTAAAAAATAGATAAAATAAAAAATTGGGGACATTTTTAACATACATATTAAACAATAATAAGTATGTTAAATAAGAAATATTTTTATTAATGATAAAAATGGAATGTAAAATAAAAAACCAATTGGAAAGAAAAATATTTTCATATTCTCTCTCATTAAATCCTATATTTAAAATATATTTTTCTCATCATTAAATTCTTGTAATTAAATCCATAATATTTAATTTTAATAGTTTAAAAATAAATATTGTGAAAAGTAATTTGAAAACAAAACCATTTTCTTCCCTCCCAGTGGTGGGCAAGCAATTTGACCATTTGTGGTCAAATGTAATGCAATGCAAACATTTTTATTTCCAATGATGGAAATGTAATGCAAAATTTAATGTCAACGTAGAAATCAAACAATTTTTACTTTTAGATGGTGGGTTAGTGGTTTGAGTAAAATAATACCATAGACAAACAAAAATTAAGTGCGATAAGAAAAAATATTTTATATAATGTAAATGAAATATATAATTTAAAGGGAAAATTATAATCAAAGTCGGTTGTACATTTAAAACTAGGTTACAGGTTGGTTTAGAAACCAACCAAACTGTGAAAACTGACTCTACATTTCAAATTATAAAACCCCTGCCTTGTCATCAGAGGCTTATGTGGCTGTTGCCAACATGAGACTCTTATTTCACGTTGGACATAGCAGAAAACCTATATCGAAAGTAGGTTTTCAGTTTTTCTCCCACTCCCTCTATCTGTCGATCTTCCTCCCTTCTTTTACTCTTATAGTCATCTCTTGATTTCCCATTCCCTCTGTCTCTCCCATTCTCTCTTTTTTTTTTTTTTTTAATTTGTAGCCAAATCAAAACCTCTTTCTCTATTGTTCTCCGTCAATCTTTCTCATTCTTCCCCCTCACTCTCCCTCTCGGTCAAAATCTCTTTCTCCCTCAATCTATATCGTTCTCCAATTGGTGTAAATTTCATAACCAAGAGTTTCTTATAAATTTTATCAATTTGGTGTAATAATTTTTTAACCATACCAAGTTGGTCTCATGTTCTTTTATACGATCTGATTAATACTATATAAGTGTATAATAAGAAAATAAAAAAACGAGAGAGGGAGAGGGAGAGAAACTGAAGGAGAATGATAGAAATTAAGGGGGAAGGAGAAATTGATTGAGAAAGAGAACGAGAGAGATTGAGAGAGAACGATAAGTAGAGAGAAATTGATATACAGAACGCAAATATAGAAACCAAAAATCATTTTTATCTAATTCCAAATCACATAGTCGTTGAGCAAATAAAGATGACTGTGAGTGAAAGTGTGAGGAAGATTGAGAGAGAGAGAAACTAAAAACTCTTTTTTTTTTATTTTCCAATCATCCAACATTAGAGGGCAATTTAGGTATAAGTTTTTTATTATGTCCAATATGGATTAAGAGTCTCATGTTGGCAATAGCCACATAACCCTTCGATGACATAGCGAGGGTTTTTATAACTTGAAATGTAAAGCCATTTGTTAGAGTTTTGTTGATTTATGGACCAACTTGTAACCAAATTTTAAATATACAACCGACTCCAGCTATAATTTTTCCTATATAAAACTAATCCAAAAGCATTGATATTTCTTATCTAGATGGTGGGTCAATGATCCAACTTTTCAAAAAAACACATAATGTCATAATTCAATAATAAATATTTGAATTTATTTTTAATCATATTATTATTTTTTTAATTTTTAATTTCTATCTTAACTATAATATATCTAAAATTCAAGTAATTAATATGAAAAAAAAAATTCTCACAAAACATGTGCTTAATTACTAATTTAATATTAAAGAGATAAGTGGACTGCATGTGAGTGATGCATGTGACCCCAACTCAAGTGGAAATTAAGAAAGAATTAATAATAAATCAACTGGATGGTGTAGTCACAAGAAATTAAAGAATCCGGTGATGTGATATTCTGCACCTACCGTAGCGATGTCCCCGAGATTGACGAGGAGAGAACCTGGCAAGGGATCGACGGCTACAAAGGCACCTGATTTGTCCATTACTTCTAGGCCTCCAATGCATTCATCTTCCTGTAGAATGGTAAGGAATCCGGAATCTGTGTGCATGCACACCCCAGACGAGCCCACGGTTTCCTGAGTGAAGTTGTATCTGTTTATCCTAAATTGGCATGCCCACCCTTTGATCGGATCACACCTTACACCACTTCCCTCTGCCACCTTGCGCCCTATGTCCATGGCTAGCTCGTATATTGCATTTGAATAACACTTGATTATCTCCCTGCCATTACTTATTAGTGCCGCATTCACATCCTCCCATCAATTTTAATTTTATTCATCACTCGAAGCTTAAGAAGCCTCAAGGAATGGAGGGTTTCTTTTTTTTTTTATTCTATGAACTATAAAGAGAGAATTAATTAAGAGAAGAACTAGACACACCAAAATGGCAAAATCTACCCGGCGGCCGGGCCTCCTCTACCTTTTTTATTTAACATCAAATTAATCCGCTACCTTAAATTAAAAGAAAGAAAGAAAAACAGAATATTATCATCATAATTCATACGGTATGGTAGGTACCTTTTCTGTGGAGGGGTGCCTAATTGAGTACAGAAGGCATCGACGGCTTCACTGGAGGCTATGTCGTATAAACCAAAAGCTTCGTAAAGAGGGTTGTCCTCGGAAGGAGCCCGGTATCCGCTGCCGTCGATGGCGTCACCGTTGCGGCGTTTGATTTCCTTGGGAAGGTCGAACAGAGATCTGACCACCAACTTCATGTCAGACAGTAAGGTGGCCGGAATCTTGTGGTTGAGGATCCTGAAACATCCCCATTCCACGCAAGCCCGAATCAACTTGTCCAACTGGGCTGGAAAGTCGTCAAGATCGATTACAGGGATCCTAACATCATCAACTTCAAAAGCAACCTTTGCCATTGTACTTGTGTCTCGGAGTCGGACAGGACTCGGCCTCTCTTCTTCCTCTCTGGCTCTGCTGATGCACACTGAAACGCACGCACTCATTCGCATATCCATGATGTCATGGGATATATAGCCCTAGACCTTTTAGTAAACTAATGAGAGAAACCTGACGAAATGACGTGTCTGTGTCCTCCGGATTGCGGACAAGTAGGGTCACATCTTCAAACTTTTGTATCCTTACGTAATCTCGTTGCTTTTCTACCCCCAACTGCAAAACAACAAGGAAAAAGACTATCCAACAACCGAAACCCGGAAGCACAACAGTTTTATTGACTAATGGCCACTACGTGTGTTCCTGCCATTGGTATACTCCCAGAGACCACAACTTCTGGTCGTCTAGTCATGAGACAATCTCTTCACTTTTTCCGTGACCTGGGTTACTGGTCACCACGGGACAGACTGCAGTCGGGCCCACCAGACCACCACCCACAGACATATTCCCAATATCGTAATTCGTAATCACCGAAAGAAGCTTCTATCACGGCAGAGTTGATACGCGCAGCATGAAGACCCGCCACGCGTTTTTGAAACGTGTGTGATGAAAACTTGCGAGGTGAATTAAACACGCACTCCTCTCACCACTCTCGCCATACCGAACCGTTTTTACTAGAAAGTAGAAACCGTTCCAACAGTGTTTTAACAATGCTTGAACGGGGGCCTTACACTATCAGCGACAACCGAAGAAAACTAGTGGATGAAATAAAGTAAATCTGGGCCAGAATGAGAAGAGGGGAAATAAACGGATTTATATGTAAACTATTTTTTGGGGTAAATTTACAACATGGAGTTCGGTTCGTGTGGTTGGAATCGTGTAAACGGTTGAAGCATGCGAAGATGCTTTACACCGTTAATTAACCACATCGTTCTATTCTCCTCTCTTCTTCCTTGAGTGTTGCAGACGAGACACTCGTTCTCTTCTCCCTCTCTCTCCCCCATCCACCTAGTGGCTGAAGATCCCTCAAATACAAAAGTTCGTAACAGCTGGGGCTAACACACTTGTACCGATCCTCCAATATAAAACCAGAGGATATTAATATGACTCAAGGAGAAAGTCGGTAGCAAGGGTTTTTCTTAGAATGTGTTGTGTGTCAAGCTGCATTGGAAGCCCATGGGGCTTCAACGGTACAAAATATAGGGAAGGGAAAGACCCCTTCTTATCCGAGATTTTCCTAACCTCCTAGACTCTTTCTACCTCTTGGATCAAGGGACAAGGGTCCCACAAGGTAGGATTAGTTGCCCAGATTTTTCAACCACCTTGCCAAACTTTGACCACACCAAGCAAGAGTCTTGCTGACATGGCATCAGTTTGATTATCTATAAATGGGCCAAGAAAAGGAGACTAGTCAAAGATATTTACCTATTGGTGTAGGCTATGCCATCAGCGGTAGGATTTGTCCATACACCAAGGTTATTCTGAATCGAGAGCATCTGGCCACTCTGAACAACATCTCCCACTTGGCCATTTATGTCCGAGATCAGAACTAGCATTTAAGACCCATATTTAGTTTATGCCTTTTGAAGTTTTCACCTGTAATTGCTTTAGTAAAGGGGTCAACTAGCATATCTTTAGAAGGCACATACTCTACCCGGATCTCTTTCCTTTGGTAGATATCAAATAAATACGTGTATTGAAGCTCTATATGTCTTCCCAGCCAATTTCCCCATTTTTTATGGTTTGAATGGCAGCTTCATTGTCATTGTAAATAAGAGCTGAATCGCAGAACCTTTTGATCCATACACCTTCAGAGGCTGCATTAATGCATGCAATGAATTTTGCTTTCATTGTAAACTTAGCAACACAACCTTGTTTTTTACTGGCCCGCAAAATTTCTCCTCCTAAGAGAAAGACATAGCCAGTTGTTGATTTTCTATCATCAACATCTCCTGCAAAGTTAGCATCACTATATCCTACTAGTTCCAATTCACCACAAGAGTAGGTTAACTTAGTATTTTTAGTTCCCTGGAGATATCTAAAAATTCTTTTTATTGCATTCCAATGAGACAATCCTGGGTTACTTTGAAATCTGCTAACCAAGCTAACGGCAAAACTTAAATCAGGCCGAGTTCAGAGCATGACATACATAAGGCTGCTTACAACTTGAGCATAAGGTTTCTTAGACATTTTTTCCTTTTCTTGTTCATTTGACGGGCACATTTCTTTTGTTAGTTTTGTTCCCATAATTATTGGAGTGTCAACCGGTTTGCATTCATCCATTCTAAATCTCTTAAAGATGGAGTCTATGTATCTTTCTTGTGATAGGGTCAAAGTTCTTGTTTTCCTATCTCTTTCTATCTTTATTCCAAGAACAAAAGAAGCATCACCTAAATCTTTCATTTCAAATTGAGAGTTTAAGAAACTTGTTGTCTTTTCTATTAAATTCATATCATTTCCAGCAATCAAGATATCATCCACATAATGAGATAATAACATAATGGAACTCTCACTATTTAGGACATCAACACAGCAATCAAAGGTATTAGGAACAAACCAAGTTCTGTGATTGCATTGTGAAAAGTATAATACCACATATGAGGAGATTGTTTTAATCCATACAAGGACCTTTTTAATTTGTATACATTTTCTTCTTGTCCCTTTATTACATATCCTTCAGGTTGTTGCATATAAATTTCCTCCTCCATTTAAAAAGGCAGTTTTTACATCCATTTGGAATAGTTTCCAATCAAAACAAGCTACTAAAGCAAGTAAAATACTAATAGAGGTGAATCTAGCAACTGGAGAAAATGTTTCTTCAAAGTCAATTCCCTCTTTTTGTGCGTAGCCCTTACCTACCAATCTAGCTTTGTACTTTTGTATTGATCCATTTGATTTTAATTTCCTTTTAAGTATCCATTTACAGCCTATAATTTTCCTACCCTTGGGTGGATCAACTAAATCCCACATCTGATTTCTAACCATTGAATCAAACTCTTCATCCATGGCTGTTTTCCATTTTTCATGATCAATAGAAGTTATTGCTTCAATAAAATTTAAAAGATCAATTTCATAATCAATTACGTAATCAGTTTGGAAAGTATAAAAGTCTTTGTATCTACTAGAGGGAACTCTTTCTCTTTGAATTCTAGTGATTGTATCAACTTTAGGTGGTTCACTAGTGTTAGGACTATCAACAACCTTTTCTTTTTCTATCTCAAAGATGCCAACTAATTTCTTTGGATCATTTGGGTCAACTTCATCTTTTAGGAATTCAGCATCCATGCTTTCAACTAGTTCACTTGATCCATCAGATTTGTGTCTCACAAATCTATATCCTCTTGATGTTTCAGAGTATCCTATGAAAGTTGCTCTAAAGCTTTTGGAGTCTAATTTATTTCTAAGTTGATTTGGTACCCATACAGAAGCAGAGGATCCCTAAATTTTTAAATTTGTAAGATCAGGTTTTCTTCCTGTCCAAAGTTCATAGGGAGTTAGTTTATTGATTTTTGTTGGGACTCTATTTAAAATATAGACTGTTGTGGCTGTTGCTTCCCCCAAAAAATGATTTCCCAAGTTTGAATGGCTTAGCATGGACCTTGTCATATCTAGGAGGGTTCTATTTCTCCTTTCAGCTACCCCATTTTGTTTGGGTGTGTAAGAGATAGTCAACTGATGCAAGATTCCATTTTCTAAACAATAACCATTAAACAATTCAGAGGTGTATTCTCCACCCCTATCACTTCTAAGTATTTTTATTTTCTTTCCTATTTGATTTTCAACTAAGGTTTTAAACTCCTTGAATTTTTCTAAGACATCAGTTTTTTATTTAGCAAATAGATAAAACCATATATTGAGTAATCATCTATAAAGGTTATAAAGTATTCTATCTTCCTATGGGTTTTCACATTAATTGATCCACAAACATCATAATGTATTATTTCTAAAATTTCTTCAAAATTTTTAGCCTTTCCAAATGGTTTTCTATGCATTTTTCCCTTTAAACAAGGTTCACAAGTCTTAAAGTCTATATTCATTTTTTGTAACAAGTCGTTGCCACACATCCTCTTTAATATTTACATGGCCAAGTCTTAAATGCCATTTATATGAATCTAAGCAAACAGAAAAAACACAATCAATATAAATAGAAGCATTGACAATCTTATTATTAACATTCAATCGATACAAGCCATCTTCTCTAGTTCCCCACAAGAGAATTCTCCCATGTTTCCCTATGGATACTTTCTCACTCCTAAAAGTGACTTTAAACCCCTTTTCATCAAGACGAGGTACAGAAATAAGATTCCTCCTAAGGCTAGAAACATACAAAGTATCAGATAGAATAAAATTGATCTCCTCTTTTACAGGAATTTTCACAGTCCCCACCCTTAGGACATCACAATAAGAGTTGTTTCCCATAAATAATTTATGCTGGCCTGATTGCATCTCTTTCAGGTCAAGGAAAGCTTCTTTGGGTCTTGCAACATGTTGAGATGATCCGGAATCAATCCACCAAGAGCTCGAGTCAGAATCAGCTATGAATGACTCTAAAACCACACAAATTATGTCCTTGGTGTTAGTACTAGGATTTTGTTTCTTTTTAGAGCAATTATATTTGGTGTGTCCCAAGCACCACAGTTGAAACAAATCACTTTTTTCTTTCCTTTATTAAAAGTTAGTCTTTTTGAACCATTTTCCTTTTCCTTTATGAAATTTAGGTTTAGGCTTCTCACCTGATTTAGTTGGTTCAGATGGAGTGGGTTTAGTAACTAAGGCTTGAGAATTATTCTTTTTATTTCTTCTTTCGGCCTCAACAGCAAGTAACATGGGGAGATTCTGCATAGTGATGTTTTGGCCAGAGAAGTTACGAGATATCACTACTTGTTCCCAAGATTTTGGTAAACTATGTAGAATTGTAGACACTTGTACTTTGTCTGGGATGGAATTTCCTACAACTGCTAATTCTTTAGCTATGTATTTTCAACAATAAGATCATCTTCTTTTATTGCAAAACCATAAAATTTTTCTATCATAACTGAATGTAAGATTCAGTAACCTTCCTATAGGTTTCAGTAACAACATCAAACATATTTTTGGCATATTTAT